GTTTTGTTAAAATGCCACCAGTTTTACCGTAAAATTAATTAAAATCGTTTGTTTTCACTGTACTACAATTTTATTTTGTCAGTGCTAGAACGTGTAGATTAACTAATTAGTAAAAATTAACTGTAAAATGTTTACCTTTTTGATTTTTAGTAGTATTAGCAATAAGCTTGTATAAACAATTTGTTTTAAAGCTTCTAGTTATGTTAAATTTAATTTAATATAATCATTTAAAATTGAATGTATTTTAAACAACAGTTTTTAAATTCTTGTAAGTACTTGTTAATTGATTTTAAATTAAATTTTTAGAATTTCAATTTAACAATAAAAACTTAATTTTTGTTAAATTAATTGCTTAGTTTAAATTTTATTAATTTTGCCAACTAAAAACTAACTTTTTTAAATGATTTTTAAAAAACTAGTAGTTACAGATAAGCCAAATTTATAGAATGTTTAAAAAATAGAATTGGTTTGATTTTTTTTTGTAAAAAATGATAACTTTTTTCGTACAAAGTAATAATCGTTCAATGAGTCATTAATGGCAGTTCTTCCTGCATTTTTGATTGTAATCAGTGTAGTAAGTGTCTGCATCATCCCTTCAGACTGCGCAGACAAGGAACAAAGGAGAGTACCGGTACTTACTTTGCAGGTATGGTTGGATGCACTTTTGACCAGCACAACTTTCTAATTGTTGCTGGCACCTTCGTCTGAGAGGCTCCTCCCCTTTACTTGATCCCATAACGGACTGACAGCCAATCAGTGGGCGAGAATGCAGCTCCATTGGCCACTGGTCATGCGCCTCTGTTGACCGTCGTCGTTCCATTGTCACCCGACCCCGACAACCAGACACTGCCAGACACAGCAGCCTTGCTACTGATAAATTTAAAGCAGATTTACTATAAATTGGACATTCGCTCTGATTGACAATCTGTTCAGTAGCTGTACTCCTCTTTTGTCCGTTTTCTATTTTTTTGTCCTTTGTTTTACTCTGTTTTTTGCTGTTCTATTACAGTTTTTCCTACATTGAATAAACCTTAAACTGTGCTTTTTTGTAATGCCACCTCCGCCGACTTCAGAAATAGACAACAACGATTTGCAGCAGCAGCAACAATTTCACCCTTCTCCCGACGACCAACCTGTGAAAGCATCAGGTTGTCCTTCATCAGTTCCAAGTGTCTCTGAAGTGACACCTCCGCCGCAGCCACCTCTTTGGAACATTGAGCCCGCCTCACCAATTGATCAAATTTTCGAGGCCACCTTTGGCAACGACTGCACTGGATCGTCCAGTGGTTTGGAGGACCACCACTCCTGTCCCATCTGCTACCGCACCATCTCCAGCACCTCTGGATCATCGTACTCGTCTTCAGTTCGCTCCTGTGAGGGCTCCCTTCACCGACGGCGACCGTCAGTGCACAGTCAGTCAGTGGTCGACATGCAGACAGGAGGTGGTAGCAATGTCTCCGGAAACAGCAACAGCAACAGCAACAACCATGCCAAAACGATCGTCATCAAGCGAAACCCGGTCACCCTGGAGTCGCTGGAGGAGAGGTGCACCCCCGTGCAGACGCCCTACCGATCGCAGCGGGGCGTGGCGAAGCGCCTGCTGCCGAAGAAAGTGACCCCCTACCAGGTGCTGACCAGCGTCTTTCCCATCATCAAGTGGCTGCCCGCCTACAACGTCAAGGGCGACCTCATCGCCGACATTCTCGCGGGCATCACCGTCCTGGCGCTGCAGATTCCCCAGGGCCTGGCGTACAGTAAGCTGGCCGGCGTCCAGCCGGTGTACGGCCTCTACGCCACTTTCTTTTCCATGCTCATCTATCCGCTGATGGCCACCTCCAGGCACGTCTCCATGGGTGAGTCTAAATAGCTATTAAATGAAATAGGTGAAAAGGGCAACGTTTGCGCGTTTGAGTAAGGATGGATGGCTGTTAAATAGAGAACAGTTACGCTGATTTAGCAGTGGACACTAGTCTCCGTTCATTGTTGGGTTGCCTTAATCAGCGAGCCCCGGTAGCTCCATTGAGTAAAGTAGTGTTCAAACGGTGTTACTTTCTAGAACACGGTGTTGACATCTTCACCAACAGGTGTGAATAGTGACAATTTGGCTCTTTTTATGGTAGACTCTATGCACTTTATTGCGTTCAGCTGTGAGCTGCACAGTGAAAAGACCCATTTTTAAACTGCCCATCAGTGCTTAGCAGCAGTGCGTGCAGTTCATTGCCATTGGCCGATTTAAGCTGCAAAGCGTAGTGATAACTGCTGTTACAATCCAATGTCGGCATTAAAATTAGCTGTTAATATGCAAAAACTAATAGGTTAAGCAAAATTGTTAAAGTTAAACACTTCCAGCATTGCTGTAGAGGCAGCATAGTGATAACAAATTTTATAAGGAAAGCGTGCAATCAAAAAGTATTAAACGATTATAAATGTTTTGGTATTGGAAATCAAAACAAACAGACATTTAAACACGCTTATATTAGTTTATCATTTTTAAAAATTTTTTGAATAAAATGAATATTATTATTTGACAAAATGTAAACAAAATTGATAATTCAATGTATTTTTTCAACAGGTTTATATGCAATCACTTCGATGATGTGTCGAAATGTTATCACTAACTTTAGTGGCAATTTTGAATATCCCCCAATTGGCATAGATATTCTTGTGACATTGTGTTTTATGACTGGCATTATTCAATTTGTCATTGGCATTCTTCGACTTGGCAATTTATCCCTGCTTTTTTCTGACAATTTTCTATCTGCGTTTACCGTGGCGTGCTCTATTCTTATTGTAAACAGTCAAATACCACCAACAATAGGCATCGATTTTGCCATTGATGAAAATGCCAATCTACCAGTGCAATCAGATTGTTTAAATGTAAGTTAAAGTTTACTATTAACAATGTAATTTTAGTAATTTAACATGTTTTCTTTTATCAGAGTTGGATTTCAATTGTTCGGCACATTCCTGAATCCAACGTCGCCACATGTGTGCTTTCAGCATGTGTCATAACCTTTCTTCTTACCATTAAGTACTTCGTTGAGCCGCATATTCTTGTTAAGCGATACAACTTTAGATACCCAATTCCCAGTGATCTTATTGCCGTAAGTGCATTCTGTTTAATTCTTAAACAAATATTAAAATTTAAAAACCTACATAAAATTTCAGATCATTATCACTACAATCATTTCAATGGTGTTTGACTTGAATGGCAGATACAAAGTCGATATTGTGGGAGACATTCCTTCTGGTTTTGAAAAACCCAGTGTTCCGCGATTTGACCTGATGTCTTCCCTGTTCACTGATGCCGTCATTATGGCGGTTGTGGCTTCAGTCAGTCAAATTTCTCTTGCCAAACTGGCCTCTAAAAAGTACAACTATCCGATATCACTAAACCAGGAGTTTCTCGCCTATGGAACGACAAACCTTTTCTGCTCCTTTAATCACTGTTTTCCAACGTGTGCCAGTTTGGCTCGAACTAGCGTCAATGAGAATGCCGGCAGTCGCACTCAATTGACGGCAGTTATCTGCTCCGGATTAATGGTCTGTTTTTTGCTCTTTTTCACCACGTACCTGGGACCGCTTCCAAAGGTATACTGTAACTTATAACTTTTTTTATTTTGAAAAAGCTAACTTACTGATTTTGTAGGCAACTTTAAGTTCTATCATAATTGTGGCAATGATCCCTTCGCTAATTTTAGTGCGAGATTTGATCAGAGTTATTCGCATATCTCGATATGATGCTTTCCTGTGGATTTTTACCTGCATTGCGGTTACTTTTACTACGGTCAACATGGGCATCTTTTGCGGTCTTGGCACATCGATTGCAATCATTCTTCTTCGTGCGGCAATGTGAGTATTTTAGTGTTTGTTTTTAATTAAAGACTAACTCTAAATATATTTATTTTTTCAGTCCAACATCATCAATCAAAATTCCTTTTGAGAAAAGTGAACTATACCTATCTCCCGAGGTGTACACTGGACTGAATAAAATTGAAGCAAACAAAACATTTGTTTTTAACTTTCAAGGACCATTGACTTTTCTTTCTGCTGCCACATTCAAAACAGACGTGTACAAGAAAATTTTGCAACCACTTGAAGAATTGCATGCTGAAAGGGTCAATCAGGATCCAAACAACAACAACAATGACAACCAAATAGTTGACAATGATATCTTAAAGTTAGATGGAATACAGGTAGATGGTCACGACAACTTGTCATTTGAAAAGGGAGACGAATACGAACTAAAAAGTCCGGAAGATAAACCCAAAGCTGAATCGACAGAGAAAATTTTTGTTTGGCACAACGCATTGATTCTTGATATGTCGCAAATCATTCACATTGATGTCACCGGTATTGAAATGCTCGAAGAATTGCAAAGTGATTTGCAAAAATTGCACTGTAAACTGCTGCTGGCTAGCTGTTCAATATCGGTGCTTTCCACACTTGAGCGTGCCAATTTCATTCAGTCAAAAGTTGCCAAGACGGAGTGTTTTCTTTCAGTACACGATGCAGTTATTGCTTCTAAAGCGATGTTAACTGACAGTGAAGAAAGCACACTTTAGTTCACTGGCAGAAACATTACGTTTTGTGTACATCTACAGTGTTCAGTTTTGTAAATTTTGGTATTTTTGTAAAATCATTTCAACAACTTTTGAATTTGATTCTAAGTATATGATTTACAAAATAACAATTTTAATTGCTAGTTTAACAAATACTTCCTTTTGCATTTTTAACTTATGTTAACAGTTTTTGTATTTTAGTTCGAGAAACTCAATTGATTTTTTTGTTTTATAACACATGTTACATTTTAAATTGAATCATTAAAACTAATCATAATTCATCATATTAAATATTATTTTGTATTGTGTTTAAGTTGTTTACATTGTTTTGAGCTGACAAAAAATATTTGTGTAAAATATGTACAAAAGTTAATGAATAAAAGCAATGGTATTGAAAACAAACTTTGCATTGCTTGATTATAAAAAAACCAAGTTCATTTAAAGTTTTTTGTTACATGTATCACAAACACGGACTGGTGAATTCCATCCGTGAGCGGGCACAGTTTTACGCTGTTTAGAACAATCATCACAAACTCCATGACCGCAAGCACGGCAGTGATGAATTGGATTTTTGTCGGTAAAATCCGTTTCACAACAAACACAGCTTACACAATCTTTATCTGGAACCCAGTATTCAGGTCGGGCAGAGTCTTTGATCCATCCTTTAACAAACAAAATATGTTAAAGTGTTTTATGTAAAAGAAAAAAATGTTTTTCAAATTTACCCAAAGAGTAATCAATCACTGAAAAAACCGTCCCAAAAGTGGTTTGGGCAGCTTCAGCAACTTTCCGAGCAGTTACATCATCGTCCACACTGTTTGAGTTTAATTGGCCTAATAAAAATATTTAGTAAATGGCATAGAAAGTTAACAATATAAACATAATGCACGCACCTTTTTCAAAACACAAATCGCACACTCGAACAGGCTGATTGCCCCATCCTCTTTCAGGTACAGGCTGCAGCTTATTACAACAATTTTCACAAAATCCACTCCCACATCGGCGACTACATTAAAAAGAGAGTGTATTATTATTCATCAACAAAAACAAAATAACTTCAGCTTACCAGTGATGTTTTTGATCTAAAGGTTCAAATTGTTTTTCGCATTGATTGCAATGTTGTATGCGTGCGTTTGGAACCCAGTAATTTGGATTGATTTGATCAGCAACCCAAGATGTAAGCATTTTTGATGGCATTGCCATAATGCTGCCAACAGTTCCAGAAAAGTAACTGACACCGTCAATCACTTTTTGAGCAGTGTTTATATTTTGAAACGCATTGGAATGTTGATTCTAGAATAAAAAAAGTTATTTAACAAACTCAATTTTAGTATGCTTAAAATAAACAAATTAATACTTGATTATTGTTTTGGTTTTCATCAAACTGGCCATATTTGTCGTTGATTTCATGCATGTTTTGTGTTACCATGTGTGTCATTCTTTATAATGCTAAAGAAAAAACACATTTATGTATAAAGCTAAGTGCTAATTAGGCGAGGCTAAATTGAAAGCATGCTCTGCAGGACTACCAAAACAAAACATAGTACGTTTTATATGAACAGATAATTTTTAAATTTTTTTGGTCAACACAATTTGTTTAGATATAAAATAATCAAAAGTTATGCACACAAATGATTTTATTGACAAATGTTTTCACGTAATATAATTTGAAAAAATCTACAATTTTAAAACAATCTATTTTTTGAATAAAATTTTAACACTAATATACTGTTTACAAATCGAAATTATAATATGGAAAGTCATTGCCATCTTTCCATTTGGTAATTACTGGTTTAAACATCCAAACTTTTGGCTGGTCAATATGTTTTGCTTTTTTGCGTGGAAATTTGCTCCAATCAAAAGGTGGCTGACCTTCATCATTCGGACCGCTGACGGCCACAAATTCAAGATGTTTTGCCAGCTGTGAAGAGGTCACCTTAGTGTCAATTGCACCATATAGACCAAAAGTGAAGTCATCTTTTGTGTACTTCCCTTTAGGGTCGTTTAGGTCAGAACGGGCCGCAATGGTTAACACTGAACTGTACGGTGGAGAACAGGCTTCACAGCGAGACAACGGGTCATTGGTGAAATCATTGTACCGCATTAGATGATACAAACTGGTTACATTGACAATTGATGATTCTTCACGAGCAAAGATTTTTGCACAAGCCGTATCTCTGTGAGATCGATAGTCACCATCTTCTTGAAATTGCTCTAAAAATCCTGAGTATTTGTAAATTTCAAAAAAGTAGGGCACATTGTAGCTTGCCCAGTACCCAGTAGAGCGTATGTAGTCGGTCATGTCTTCCCAGTGAATCATATTAGGCTGCTGCTCGAGTACGGTAAAGAATCCGGGTTTGATTACTGGCCGACCTGTAGTGTCTAGTTCTTTTAAGTCAACAATCATAAACTGATTGTTGTATGTGCCTGAATTGTGGCGGCTGAAAAGTTTTGCCCATTGAGAACCCGAAGTTGCAAGTCTGTTAGCCACAACATTACGTATAAACTCCATTACAACGTTTTCAGCCCCAAGACCTTTATATACACTAGAATTGAAAGCGTCAATTGAGGTTTCTTGAATAATAAGATTTTGGGAGGTAATGTAAAAGTCATCATCTGAAAAAACTAAACCCGGATACGAAGAAAAAGAGATAGATTTAGCCATTGAAGTGCTAAAATTAAAAGTGTATTTTTTCAAAATTCTGAGCATTGAAAAGTACATTGTCCAAGTATCGTGAGCTACTAAAACTTCTCCTTGATGGGGCAACCACTTGACCATTGCAGAACATTTGCTCACGTGTTTACGGTTATCAGTTTTGGGTTTTTCATCTTCATCAAAATATTCATCAATATTTTCCTGTTCATCAGCCATGTTTAAAAAAAGACTCCACATGGATTCAATTTTGAGTGAGGTTTTGAATTAGACAAGTTTGAATAGCCATCATCTATTCCTGTCAATTGAAATACTTTGATTTGTTGTTGTACAAAAACGACGTTTGCGTTAATAAAATTAATATAGTTTTTGCACTGCTCATTGCGCATATCCCCATTTGAGCCATAACCAAGAGATTTTCGATAACTGTCAATTAGATGAGAAGTCAAATGCCCTTCAAGATAGCCTGCATAATAGGCTTGTGTTGAATCAAGTTGACGAGCATTAGTAACCAATTCCAATTCGGCCCACCCAGTTTCGTTGATTCGGTTGGAAAATCGAGCATAGGCCACTTGATTTTCACTAAAAACTATAGGTCTTAACAAAAATTAAAATTGGTTAAAAACACAAAACTGAAAAAAATATTAACATATACTTGACACATGTTTCAATTGTTCCATAAATGTCAATACAAGTGTAGAGTGACTCAAGTCCTAGAGCAAATTGTCCAAAAAGAAAGCTTGTCAGCAAAAATAGAAACATGTTAAAATTTAACTTTTTGAATATTTTTTTGTTTTATCATGTTAACAAAAATACTCAGCAGTTACTTAATGGCTATTAGTTAACTTTATTGGGAAACAATGAATCAGACTTAATCAGTTTGAGTGTTACTGATTTGTCATGATTGCAATAAGTAATTCTCTTTAATTCAATGTGTTTTTATTGATAATTCATAAAATAGTTATATAAATTAAACAAAACAAAATTGCTATTTCTTAAATTTAATATTTTATAACATTTATTTATTGACAAATTATTGTTATTTTGAAAAAAATGTTGAGTTTAAAATAAAATAGAGAAAACCTTTGCATTTTTTTACATTTAAGCCGGCAGTTGTAACCCTCATTGGACTTTGTTGTTGAAAAAAAGGCAAGTGAGAGTGACGAAACTAGTGTACAGACACTAAGTGTTAAGGCCGGTCCTTCTCCTTCTGGCCAACCTGTGGCCCAGTCCTGACGCAGCAGTTTGCTAATGACAATCTGGTTTGAGGGCAGAGTGAAGGCTCAGTTCAGTGTTTACCTGAACACCTCATCTGACAGTTCATTTGCTTGTTGCCTGCTCTGCTGTGGCGGCAAACGTGATTTGAGAACACTAACAGAGAACAGCGCAGTGACTGCCCGAACGCATCTCTCTTTTTCTTCCTCTTCTTTTAGTGTTGTTCACCTGAACGCCACTTCTATTGATCCGTAGAGAAGACACACGCACAAACACACACACACAGCGACATGGAGAGACTGGCTGGGCAAAGAACAAGGCAAATTACCGCCAAACGCTTCCCTGCTGGCTAAACTGGCCGCCCGTCCGTGCACCGTCTATTCCGTCCACCAGTCAGTCAGTCAGTGAGTCAGTCAGTTTGACTCTTGGCAAATAAACTGGCACTTGTTGATGCTGTTGTTGCTGTTCCCCCTGTCTACTCTCCGCACTGGCCATTGTCTGCTCAGGTCTAGTGCGCAAAAAACGAAATAAAGTTTCTTTGGCCGTGCTTTTGCTTTCCATTCGGTGCTCTGCTTGTCATCTCTGTCACGCTGCTCCATCCATCACACTTTGCGGTGTCGTGCGTGTCCATTCGGATACATCCGCAGAGGGAAAAGGAAAAACTTGAAACTCATCTTCAGACGTCCAGACTACTACTCTATTTGATCTTTTTTGTATTCATTTTACGGCTGTTTTGTTCACCACCCAACCGTGTTGCATTGTTTTACTAAGTTTTTTGTTTTTCAACTGCATTTTATTTTCTGCTATCACTGTTTTCATTTATTGTTGTTTTGCAGTTAAAATGTCATGTTTGCATTGATTTTAACAAGTTCACAAAAATGGAATTGTCACAATTAATAATGCACAAACCAAATACAAATTTTCATAACAATCAGCAGTCAACGCAGTCTTTAGCAATGTTTTCACTTCCTGCTCAACAGCAATCGCAACTTTCCCCACAATCGGCAATGTTACCTGATGATCATTGGAATGACATTGAAATTATATCTTTTGGTCTAAATGATACTCATCTTTCACATCATGATAATGTCATTTCTGCAAATGCAAATAATTCAATTGTTCACTACGCCGCTAGTAACAATTATTTAGACTTGCTGAAAAAACTTATTACAACTGACAAGTCTGAAATTGATTTAGTTGATCAAGTAAGTTACTTATTTGTTTTTATTCAATATTTTTAACATTTTGTTTTAAATAGGACAAAAATACGCCACTTTTATTGTCTTCATCATTAGGAAATATTGAAGTTGTAGACTTTCTGCTGAAAAACAATGCAAATATTAACGCACAAAATCAATTTGTATGCTACAAATTAATTTTAAAGTTTGTTTTTTAAATCAAAAAAAATTCAATTACAGGACAACTCAGCGTTGCATGAATCAGCGTGGAGAGGTTACAGTCAAACATTGGAAATATTGTGTCAATATAAACCCAAATTGCATTTAAAAAATAAAGTAAGTTATTTAAAAAATTATTGTGTTTTAACCAATTAACAAATTGTTCTTTTATCATATACAGCAAGGACATACGGCATTACATTTAGCAGCCCAAAAAGGTCACAACCAATGTTGTCGAATATTACTTTTATCAGGTTGTAAACCTAATGTAAAGAATAATGTAAGTGCAAATCAACAAGCATTTGCTAAGAACAAAACATATATCATCATGTGCTAAAATATTAAACATTTTTTGTTATCATCTTTGCTTTTTTCAGTTTGGTGATACACCTCTGCACAGGTTAGTATCTTTTAAATAATGTTTTGGTGACTTACTTAGTGATGCACTGAAACACTTTAACACTTTAACAAATATCCCTTAAGTGCTTGGGTGTGCATTGAGTGCGCTGTATGCCATTTGCTTGTGATTTATGATTATTGACGGTGACTATTTCAATTCGACAGTGCATCGCGTTATGGGCACGTGGGCGTAGTGAGGATACTCATCAGTGCATTTGCCAATGTTAATGAGCTTAACAAGGTGAGCGCTTTACTTTTAAATGCAAACTTACAGTAAACGACAATTTATCTAACTTTATTTTTTGCACAATTATCAATGATGGACGACAGAATGACGACACCTCGCTGCACATTGCTGCTGCAATGGGACGTAAAAAATTGGCAAAAGTTTTACTGGAAAGCGGGTGCAACCCTACAATTGCAAATAAGGTAACTAAAATGAGATGTTACTTAACTCAAAAACTAATGCTTGCAATAATAACTTTAGCAAAAAGAAACTCCAATGAATATTGCTTTGCGCAAATCTTTCATTGAAATACAAGAACTAATTGCCAATCCACCGCCACTTAAACCTATTCACCTGAAACAGCAGGAACTTTATAGTCGTCCGCTGCAAGGCAGTTATAAGGACATTTACTGTGCAGTGCCGAAAAATTTTGAAAATTTATATGCCACCAAGGATCATTTAGATGAACGAAACTTTGCATTTGAAAAAACTGATTTATACAATGAAAAAGCAAATCATCTTTATAATGTCATCCCTTCAAACGAACA